GTACAGTGTGTTTATTATAGCATGACAGCTCCAAAGTCCAATTCGAAGTCTTGAGTCTTTAGGTCCTAAACCCTACACCCCGAAACCCTAAACCCTTAAACCCCCAAACCCTAAACCCTAAAACCCTAAATAACCCTAAAACCCTAAATAACCCTAAAACCCTGAAGCCCTAAAACCCTACAGCCCTAAATAACCCTAAGACCCTAAACCCTTTTATCTACGCTTCACGCGCCTCGCTGAAGTGTCCCCGGAGGCTTCGGAGAAACTCGGAAAGCTCGGACCCATAGTCCTTTAGGGTTTAGGGGCCGTTTAGAGGTTAGGGGTTTGGGGGTTTAGGGTTTAGGGGTTTGGAGGTTTAGTGGCCGTTTAGGGGTTTGGGGTTTAGGGTTTAGGGCCGTTTAGGGGTTTAGGGTTTAGGGTTCAGGGCCGTTTAGGGGTTTAGGGCCGTTTAGACGTTTGGGGTTTAGGGTTTAGGGCCGTTTAGGGGTTTGGGGTTTAGGGTTTAAGGGCCGTTTAGGGGTTTAGGGTTTAGGGTTTAGGGCCGTTTGGGGTTTGGGGGTCTGGCTTTGGGGTTTAAGGCTTTCAGGTTTACAGTGCAGGGGTTAAGGGTTTAGGGCTTCGGGCTTACAGTAGGGTTCAGGGTTCCGGGGCCTGGGTTTTGCCGCGGAGCCCTAAACCCTAAACCCTAAACCCTAAACCGTCGCATCTGGGAGCTGGCATTTATAAAGGATCGTGGGGATCTTGCAGGACTTCAGGTCTATTCTTTCCTGATGTACTTGCGTGTGTTGTAGCGTTTAGGCTTCAGATGTTCGGTGTCTTTGGGAGTGGTATGAGGCTCTAGGATGGTTTGTACAGCCTTCTAGAGATTTATGTAGGGATGGGTGCGTGTGTGTGTGTGTGTGTGTGCGTGTGCGTGTGTGCGTGTGTTAGTTATTTCTATTGATGCACATGTGTGTGTATCTGTCTATACATATAGATATCTATATATATATATATGTGTCTGTATACATGTATATATCCATGATTGAAACGTGTTCTATGGGGTGGTTCGTAGTTTGTGTGTGCATTTGTGGCTTCAGTCCGGAGATGCATGTGTAAGTGGTTTTTGTGGGTCTTCTACGGATCTTGAAAGGCTCTAGGGGCTTTGATGCCTTGCTCTCGTGAGTGGTTTCATTATCTTCTCCGGAAGATTTCGGTTGTGGGGATCCGTGTGTTGATTTCCATGTGACGGGGTTTCTAAATAATGCGTGCAGGATGCAACAGTTTGTGTATATTCGAGAAATTGGTCCTTAGACTGCAAGTTCAGCTTATCCTGCTTTGGAGCTTGTGTCTTCGTACCCGGGCTGAAGCGATGTAAACCCAGACCCCTGGACCTTGTTGCAAAATCGTCCATAAGAAGGAGTCGTGAGTCGCAACTTGCTGTCTCAAGTCCCGAAAGACATGTTTAAAGCCTCTGGCACATTCCTAAAACAGCCCTTAGGCTGCAAAATATTCGTCCAAAAAACTAAATTTTAAACCGGCGGCATTCGAGACCTTACCGAAATCCTACGGTCTTCTTCCTGCAAGAAACCGAATAAGAACACGCAGCCAAGTACCGTAGTGTAGGGGCCCTAGTGATTAAAACAGGATTTTGGTGATGAGTATTGCAAAAAAGAAGACTAGGTGGGGATACTGTTAATTACTAATTGTCAGACTTCTACATCAAGTTGTGTTTGAAATGACTCTACACTTCTATTCCTTGTTGTAGTTATTGTACAGCACATACCCCAAAAGCCCATATGTTCCGACTAGTTCAAGCTTCTTTACTATGGGTTCGTGTCCTTGAAATGCGCCTTGGCTTGGAAATAGGACAGTTCCGTGCCTGCGCCCCGAATGATGGTTTTTGGTGTAGTGTTTTGGTATCTTGGCCCTTGGCTCGAACCGTTGGAACAGCACTGCGGGGATAAAGTCCCGAGATGATTGCGGAAGACTACTGCTTACACTGGCTATATTGACTGGAGCATTGGGTCCGGACTTCCAGACAAGATTGAATCTGACATGTCTGATTGCAACTAGACTTCTTATGACAACATAAAAGCACATGCTTGCGACAAAAAGCGAGCAACCCGCCTACCCCAGCAAGCTCAGCCCTGATCCAAAGTTCATCTTGACCCCTAAAGTTCGACACCCTGCAACCTCCCTCGGGCTAACCTTGAAGAACTGAACTTCCTCACCGCCAAATCTAAATAACCAAATCTGAATGCCCACAGCCCTGCTCACTAGACAGCCCGCTTCCCAGGCTTCCAAAAGCAGAATAAGAATAAATACGTGAATATCCCTGCATCTTTACTTCGAAACTTCAAGAGATACGGATCCTTCTGATTATATGTAAGGAGCCGAAGGGTCAACACGGCATCCAGGATCCTCTTGAGAAGCCTACATCTTCATGACCTCTTGATGCGTGGTATTCGAGCTCCTGGACACTACTGACTACTGACCTACGGAGACACAACACCACGAAGCTTCTGCATCTATTAGTTCAGGAGCGGTCAAACATGAAAAGACATGTTTGCAGACATCTCTTTCAGCATGGTACCCAAAAATGGCATTTTCAGGCAGCTAGGGAGTTCGGTAGTAGCGGATCTGTCGACGCCCAGAAACTTGGAATTGACCCGGAATCCGGAACCCGAAGCTGTAGCCCTCGACTCAGGTCATGTAGGGGTTTGAGGTTTGCAGGTTTACACCGTAAACCCTATAGTTGGTGAATACCACTGAGATCTCACACGCACTGATAATATCCGTTAAGTGTTGACTGGACTACAATGCCATGGCAGAGCAACTCTTTTTCCTAGTCAGAGCACTAACAGCAACGGTCATCCATATGCTACACAGGGGGACAATACTTTACACGTGCA